ATTTCATCGATTGCCAGTATGAAAATTCATATACTTTGGAGAACCATGAATGTGATTTAAAATGCATATTTCATGATCATATAGCTAATTACGAGTAAACAATGTGGCATCAAACCATAAACACTGTCCTCTAATTTAATAATGCTTTTAACAAGAGAGATGTGCCATTTGAAAAAGAATAAATTGAAGGAAGCAAACCTAAATGCCAAAGTCCGTACATATTTCCAAAACGTGCTAGGGATTTTTGCAATAGCTTTCCTTTTAGACAATGATTCATATATAGAATTGAAGATAACTTTGGATATGTGATCATTCAGCATACATAAATCGAGACAACTGATGCAAAAACTACACAGTTCTGACACTTTTTCTTCTTGATCTGTAAAATTATCAGTAAATCCTCCATGTCTTTCAACAATATCATAATTCTGTTATTAGTTTATATACTAGAAAACATAGAAATTACGATGTAAATAAAGTGTTTCTATAGAAAACAATAAACTTCAACGTCCGAATCAATGGTTGAAAGAATACCATCTTCAAATAGCATGGGGATATAAGAAAGAGCAAATGTGTTCAGAAATGGCCGCACGTCTGTAAGAACCGATAAAGTCTTTATATACGTTGATACAGACAAATTTGCATCTTTTTTAGCAATTTTCAGCGCAGTCTTGAAGCTGAAACAAATGACACATGAAAGAATAAGAACTTGACTGCTATGTCAAGCAAAAAAAAAATGCATGGTGCTCATTAGTTTTACAAAAAAGAGAAAGATGAATGGATCCAGAGTTTTAGTAATAGACAAAGGTATCATCAAGAGCAAAAATTATTTCCATTTACATACATAATTCGATTCGACAACAGGAATAGTTTATAAGGACCGTAAAGAGCATTGAAATCAAAAAATAAAAAATAATTAAATTTTTATTTTTATTTTCGACACAGAAACAATGAAATAACCGCATAACATACTTCAAAGAGAAATTGCTTATATCTTGATGCTGACAAATGACCACCAGGGTATCAATTGATTCTTTAACCGTGAAATTATCCATCTTCAGCAAAATGAGCTTAATCACTGGATAGAGTCGCTCAGATGTTAATTTCACCGCAGTGCAAAGCTGACTAATGACAACAAGACATACTAATCGCAATGACACAATATCGGATCTGGAAGACTTTTCATTACTATTCAAGTCAGCTTCAAAAGTTACTGAAAATAAAAAATAAAACGCGATTTTTATCTATTTTTCACCTAATGGCTCAGTACTTATAAGTAATGAAAATAAGACAATTTATTCGTCACTGATGAATTAATGCCTTTGAGGACTGATAATATATTTAAACAAGAACAGATATGAAACTCACACTAGGCCTTTGCCGAGGAACGGCAAAATTTTTGATAGCAAATCTTCGGTTACAGTACACACTGCCACAAGATGCACAATAATTGAAGTGTAAAAAGTAAATAAGTGAGGTAATTTTGAGTCGATATATTTACTATCAAATAACTGAAAGAAAATTTAAAATCACTCCTAAAAAATACAACAAATATGTATAAGAACATGGAAATGAAAAACAGTTTAATCTTATTTTCTTTCTGACTACCCAGTCTGTTAAAAAATTAAGATATTAAATTATTAAGAGCAACTGTTCTCGGAAAAAGTGAACATATTACAATAATTTCTTAATACTGCTAATAACAGATCAACTTTTTTCAAAAACAGACCAAACCTTTCAGTTGAAAGTTTCAAACTAATACTATTAAAAAATCATTCAACTACGCAATTTCACCAACTTTATTTACGAAATCTAGATAAGCAAAACAATTTCAGATCCGATCAACTTAGTTCATCCAGCAGGACAAACAAGTTGAATTAAAAAATGCTAACTCATAATCAACGAAAAATAACTAATAACTTCTCTAATGCGTTCAATATGGTTGTGTATCTGACTTAACAATGAGTGATTTCTCGATGTGCAGAAGTTAACCAGTTTCATCAGCGGAATAGGTGACTCCATGTCAGCATATTCTTTTGTCCACTGATATTCTGCTCGCTTTAAATCTAGGATTGATAACAGACGTCCAAATATATTGGTAGTATGATATGGTAAGAATGCAATAAACAAGACCTCAGCACTAAAACTTTGAACCTGAAATCGAAAATGAGTTTGTTGATAAATGGCATCAAAACAGTTTAAATACCTATGTACCAGATTACACTGCTTTTAGTGTCTCAGAGCATGCGAAAGTATTTTATTAAAAATGCATGTTTGTTGAAGAATCACAGATAGATCAAATAAAGCATATAAACAAATACATAATATGAAAAGTTCACCTGATATCGAAATATCAACCACTCCAAAACTTGCTTGGCTGCAAAATGATGTAAATAAGGTGAAAGTTGATAAATTACTCTTTCAATTTTTTGATCAAGAAGTACATTTTCTTTCTTGGTCAACAAAATCCGTTGCACATTAGCAGCCGCTTCGTCAAAGAGATCCTGCTCTTCGATGGCAATCTTTGGATCGATTTTTCGTAATTCCTCCAGCCCAGCACAGCCTAACAGCAAATTTTGGATGCGTGAGTTCTACGATTTCAAGCACAAAACCTTATTTCCAGAACTACTTTTAAGTTGTTTTAAACAGTATTTTACAAACAAAATTCCTAACCAATTTGGAAAGCATTCTCCACGTAAACTGAACTGGCGGCTTTCTTATCGAACAATAACGATACATGAGGTCGTTCTACTCCTAGTTGTGCACTCACCGCTGTACGCAGCTGCTCGATTTGCTTGGCTAATGATGTCATTTATTGTCAGTACCTAAAAAATCTTATTTTGGTACGATAAAGTACAAGATAAAAACGATAAGTTTGAGATAGCCACAACATGCATCTCTCCTTTAAAAAATCCTAGATCACTCAGAAACAAAATGAAGGATAATGCATGATAGTATCTAATTATTAAAGCCATACAACATTCACACAACTTCGAAACAAGAAAAAAACGAACTGGTCTAATAATAAAAAAGAATTAAGGTAATAATGTCAAGCTATTAACACCAGTACTTAAAGTTTTCATAAAAATTATAAAGCGTTACAAAAGCACTTCAGAAATGATCTCATTGAATGGCTGAAATCAGCATTCACTGACCAATACCTGACCTTTCAAAAACTCCATCTACGTTTCGCAACTTAGATTTACCTGAGTCGATAATTTTCATTCAGCTTACCGATCTGAGGGTATAGCAGTGCAACTCTTATCCCAATAGTTATTTGAATGGAACATACCAATCAAGTCAGAAGAATATTTCTTGACAGCAACTACTACTACGGTAGTGAGGGAACATTTAAGACTCGATGAACATTTTGAGAAGCAAATGAGAACTTTCAGACTTTGTTATAGTCAGTAGCACATGTTGTGATTGCATTGCTAGTAAGAGATAGACTTATTCAATTCACATCCAAATATTACTTTTACTTTTCTCGCGCTGTCCACTCTCGAATGACATAGTGGTTTGATGGTAACATTAATAACTTGTAGTTGGAAAATATGCAGCTTATAACAAGTTTGAAAAGTGCACATAAAAAGAATCTGAAGATATAGTAATGACAAGTTATGAATCTCATATTTTGGTCAGTTATAAATATCGAATCAAATGCCGTAGTTGGAAACGGTAGTAGTGAGAGTAACAACAATGGCAATAAGATGTCATTCATATGGGCTTCATTAACTTCTCCACTACTGTATTTATCAGTTTTTGTATGTCAGTGTTTTAAATTCTGAGTTGTAATGAATGTTGCGTGTTATCACGCACCACTCATTACTTAATAAATATGCATTTGAAAATGTCTCATAAATTTGCCCCAAATTTTTTCGGTGTATTGTAGTTTTTTTGCTTTTTGAATATACGAATTTGTTAACTTTTGGTTTATAATTCTACTAATTATAATGAGAAGGAAATTGTTCATTGTCTATACGACCCTTCTTGAGTTCATTGTATCTCATTTCCCTCCTTCACTGCCATCTTCATTTGTGGTGCATGATTGACATTCTCTAGCAAGCCAATGTCCAATCTACAAATTATCTTATTTAGCTATTCTGGTGACAAACACATGTAACATGCAGTAAATATATACTTTTTTACAGTGCATTTTACGTCGTATTACATTTATTTCAAGACACTCTTTTAAGGTTATTGTAAGCTAAATTACCACATTGTCTTTGCTTAAAAAGATAGGCTTTGTGAGCACCAAATTTTTGATGTCCTAATGGTTTTTATTTTTAAAAAACAATGAATTATCGTTAAAGCATTTTCTTTGTGTCCGTACTGACCTTCAAAAAAATGCAAGACTTCAGATATTACGGTATTTCCTCGAATTGATTGAGCAAATCTAAAATTTCTGATTCAATACTGCAATCAATGCATTTTTGAATTTCAAAATTCAAAATTCGTTCTGTTTAAGTCAACTAGAGAGCCATTTTTTGTTGCAAGCGGAAAATTGGCGGGATTTTTAGTTGAAGATGGTAACACCTACAAGCAGTTGAAAGCTGCCGGGACTGCAATCGATTGAGATGCACCGTAAGAACGTGAATGCTTCATCAGTCGCTCTGTTTACTTCTTTGCCATTCTCTTTCGTTCTACTCATCAACATTGATTAATTGACGTGACTTTTTTATACTACTCTATTTCAAATTCAAATTGGATTTTTGTATTGGGTTGCAAATTGCTCTCCACTAGTTTCAAACATCCTTTACTGTGTAATATAAATACAAACAAATAAATTTGTGTATGTATATTTATTTGTATATGTATCTATATACATATTTAGGTGATGATACGAGATAGTGCTGCTCATATTTTAATTTTTTAACTTTTTACAAGTTGTTAATTGTTGCATTTAATCAACTTAAAATACAAAGTGCAGTAACTTCCAGCATTTGAGAATATGCAATAAATATATCTTGATAAAATTATCAATGACAGCGCAAAGAAATTGGACATTTGTATGAGTCAAATTTTTTTTACACTTTACATTTTGCCCATTTTATATTGCATTCATTTATTTTAATAAACGCATCATTTTTGAAATGATACAAATTGGCTTCTTTGGTTTTTTAGTTTTTGAGAAGTTCGTATTTTTTTAGAAAGTTTCTCAATTTTCTTCTTCTCTGTAGGCCATTTTGCATGAAAATTTTTGAAGAGACTAGAAGCAATAACCTTTCAGACTAGACTTCATTCGTCACATCGTTATTTATAAGTGAAGAAGAGCAAAATGTTTTATATACCTGCTATACTCGCTAAAAAAATGGGACAGTTATCTTTAATTTGGTTGGTTTTTCTTTTACTGTTTAGAATGCTAAACCTTTTTTGCATTGATTATCATTCTATTTTCATACTTTAAACTGCTAGTATTGGAGCAAAATTGTATTCAAGAAAAAGCATATAAAGATCATCTTCTCGTTGCATGCTTACAATATTAGATGCTAGTAACGAAGTTTGCTCTTGGATTTCACGCGGTAGTTAAAAAATGTAAATTTATGCATCAAATTCATTGAAATCTTTTAGTTTGCTTTGTCCTGCTGTTTTCAGGCGAATAGTGTTTGATACTAAATGGAAACCACCTCGAAGAGTGCTGTTAGGGATTAACATACAAGAAGCATGGTTTGTTTGAAACATTACTACTCTTTTATTTTAAATCTATTTTAGTACTGTTATCATTATTAGTATACTTTTGTTTCTTTAATAGTACTGTGTTTACTGTTATTACTTTTTCCTATCACTATTATGACTTTTCTTTTTTTTTTATTTCTTTAATCCACTATTGTTTTTCCAGTTCTTCCTTTTTATTAATATCAGGGCTCATAAAGAGAAATGGACAAATGGGATGTTTTTGAATAAGTATTAAGTAACATTGCTGATGTTCATGAATAGAAATTTCAGTGATATGTTGCATGACAAAATTCCCAGTGGAGTGGGAGAAATCAAATTTTCCCTTTATCTCCTTTCTCAGCTTACTTATGGAATTGTTCTTGTTGTGCACAAACAGGGTGAATTGCTATGTAGTGAGTTAATGTTCTTTTTCTTTAACAATTATTCATTTGTTGATAATGTAAAAATGCTAAATTTTATCTAATAATCATGATTTAGGAGATGTGCAAGCATATATTCACACAATTTCCCCTAGAGGAGATGCGGATAAAAAGTAAGTTGTTTATTACACATCACTTATTTGCAAAAGTAAAAAAAAAAAAGAAATAAGAAACCATTCTCATTTTTTGGGCATCGTGATTCTGCGATAGACTCAACAGAACTGAATAAATTTTAGCGAGAAGAAAAGACGAAGGAAACGAAAATCAGATTCCATCAATCTTACGGAACAGGATTTTGTTAAATTGTCTCCTACTTCTCTTGTTAGCACTTTTTTTGAATTTTAAAGTGACTGTCGTTTTTCAAAGTTTCAATACTTTAATGATTTCAATATTATATTAGCTTTCAGTTGTTTATATATTAATATTTGCTCATCTATTAACTCTACTAATTGGAGAGATAGTAAGATTGGCTATCTGAAATTAAGGAATTCTGCAAAATCCAGGACTTTAGAACGACTGCAGACATATTAAAATTTTTTTTCAAGGACGAAGAGCATATGGATATTGTATTGCGTCAAAATGCGTTTACTTTAAATGAAGATTTTCCTTCTCCTCAACTGGACATGTATACTGATGATTTTGGGCCGTTAACTGAACGGGAATCTAGTGAAATGTAACTTCTTTCTGAAATCATATTGATATATAGTAATTTTAAAGTATTAAGCAATTTTCATTTTTCAAATTTTTATACACTATTATTTTCGGAATATTAACTGAAAATTAAACTTTTCATTATCAATGTCATTAATTTGCGTCACTGATGCTCGATCATCTCCAAAAGATGATAAACCAAGCAAAAAAATGATTATAAATGTAATTTTTATATCGTTTTTATGGATGATTGAGCATAGAGTTTTGCATTTTAAGATTCATTGCAAGGTTGCAATTATGTGCTACAGTACTGATGAAATATTTTAAATTAAAATCATATCCTAAAATAGCAAAAATAATTGAGCGAATCTTTTTTGTTCAAGATTCACTAAATTTAGCGACTAAAACATTTTATCCGCTAGATTTTATTTCAACGAACACAGTTTTCACTGAGGCAAATGGATTTTCTGCTGTTTGTACCTTAGAAATTAATTGATGTACTTTATCAGTGCTCATGGATTTTTGTTAGGGAAGCAGTGCTTAAAGGAATAAAGGAAATAAAGTTCGGAGAACCTGGATATGAAAAAGACGATGTGGTTATTGACAGTACTTCATTTGCGAGTAAAGTTGGTTTTTCATTTGTAAATATCTGGTCAGTGGTCTGTTGTAATATCAACAATATTTTCTGGTAAACATGATCTGGATCTGACTAGTTCCACTTGATCCGAAGCTTGTTACACCTTAAAATGATTCCGCCTAATTTACAGCGAGAACGATTGATAAGAATAACGAAAATGATCACTGAAAAAAGATTGAAATCACTAAATCGTGATTCAGAACATGATGCAAAAACGGTTGAACCTTATCAACTAGATCATCTCTCCGTAAGTTCATAACTTGATTTCCAACAGTGTTAGGGTCAATACTGAAAACTTATAATATTTCTAGTTAATCATCATTGTGACTTTGATAGTGGTTGCAGATTTCAATCATTTTCTAGTGATTTCAAGTGAACATCAAAATCTTTTCGATTCAATTGTGCTTCAGAAACATTATTGTTTCTCAGATCAATCACTTAAAATTTGTTTCAGTCTACTGAACTCATTCTGAGCAGTATGCATAGCTTGGAAGAATCAGTGCCAAGGAAAAAACGTCGCAAACAAGGGGTCATAATAGATAATATAACTGAGATGACCAATGTAATGCTATACTATATATGTTTCTTCATACCACTGAAATTTGCAAAATAATATTTCAGTATTTTTAAGCGGTAAACTGTATGCGAATGTGAATATTTTTCGTTTCATATTTTAGGTTGATTTCCAAGCTCAGTTAGATTGTACTGCCGATTTGTTATGTACTCGTGAAGAGATGATTGTGCAAGTTGCAAAACATAAAGTGGTAACACCGCAAGATTTGTTCCAAATACACCCAGTAACATTACGAGGTAAATTTTGTGGCTTTGTTGTTTAACTTGAAAGTTGATCTCATTTGAATTGTGAAATGTGGTTTCACATTTAAAAATTCGAGTAATAAATTTTCTAGTTTCATATTGTAGATAAATTTTTGGGTCGAATACATTACAGTATATGACAAAAACAGATTCTTGATAATCTCGAAATGTGCAGTGGTAATGTGCCGTGAGAGAAAGGCATTTACTAATAACTTTGAAAACGAGCGAGTACCATATTAATATGATGAATAAATTTTGTATATAACGCGTAACGGTCCTTGAAAACCTTATACTGAATCACATTTTTAGTGCTAAAAATTCATCACATTTATTTTAGAGCATGCAAAAAGACATCCATCAAATTTCCTTAGCTGCGACGGTATGTGGAATTATGAGGAGCCTATGAAACTTCGCTTTAGAGAAGCAATGAAATTGGGACCGCAGGAAGCACCACATGTGGGAAGTGTCTCAGAAAGCATAAAACGTGCTGCAGGTGTTATAATGATGGAAGAACAACTAATTTTCGGGACTAGATCCGAAAATGTTGAACAAGCAAGAAAAAGCACTTATACGACCACACCTATGGCAAGCGTAATGGTACATATTTCATCAGATCTCAAATATGCATTTTATTCTCGATTGCCCATAAATAAAAACTTTTTTTCAATAGCATAGATGGTTTTTTGCAGTTCTTCTTGAATAAGCAAAAAAGCAGCACATCTGCTCATGTTGCTAAGACGTCCGAGGCTTAATATTTTTAATTATTTGGTTAAATTTTTTAATTGCTCTTAATTTGCCTTTCTTTGCATTGTTATCAAGCTTAAACTCTTGCAAATATGAAAATAAGAATTCAGGATTTCGGAGTGTCGAGATTGTTAAGTGATTGATCATTTTAGATTCTGTTCTTATTTAATCGTTTCAGCACACTTTTGATCCATCATCGCGCCTTAAATCTGAATCGGGACCACCTCCCCAAAAAAAGAGATTTAGTGATCTAATGAAAATATCAGTGGGTTCAATTCTGGGTGAAATTGATGATTCAAACCAGTCGAAAAGAGTATGAATTCTGGATTAAAAATTTAAAGTTTCTTTTCTAGTGATAATATTGTTTGTTGTAGATGTAGGTCAATTCAAACATTTACTTTCCAAAACTAAGACTTAATTTTATAAAAAGTTGAAAGTCGAATTTTCGAGTGATTATTTATTTAGCGCTTAGGTTTTTAACCTTTTTTGTCCCGTTGTTTCTTTTTATTTTGATGTTTTTTTTTTAAAATGGGAATATCCAAAACGTTGGTTTTAAGACTTACTTATTTCTTCGAGTTGCTTTTTATCATCAAGCTTACATTTTTGGTATTCTTCTGTTTCTATCTTATTGTCTTTTAAAGCAATTTCGCCTTCCATAGTTAATTTGGATCATCGCGTAAGTCTTGTGTGTGCTTTCAGTTGCTAATACAAATGCTTGACAAATCTGTAGTAGTTGAAAATGTGCTTTATTAACATACAGCTTCTTTCAGTTATCGTAAAATTTGAATTTTTCACTTTCTAGTGCATGGACAATAGCTTGCTTACCGCAGGAGGTGCTCGAATTATAGAAATGTTGTCGTCCTTAAACATCGGTAGATCTAAATAATCTTACAAATATAAATAAAACCAAGTTTCTTGAGCAGCCTTCTTCATTTTGCATGCAAAATGCAGAATGCTATTTTTTGGGCGATATTTTTTTACTAGTTTGCAGATCCTGAAACAAGTAAACTTTCTATTTCAGGAAATGAAGAACTTGTTAGCCTACAGAAAATTTCAGTAGCTCCTATTTTGGATCAAGTAGGTCATTCAGACAAATCATTACAAATCCCAAATTTCTCGAGTTTCCCATTTCCATTTTATGATTTATTGTGAGGAGATTATAGTTCTTGCGTAGTTGTTCAGAGGTATTTTTAATAACTAGTGGCTTGTTTCGGTTCCGTAAATTCTGATCACTTCTACTTGCAGCGCATGGACAGTAGCTTGCTTACTTTCACTGAAAGTCTTCACATTTCAAACTTATTGTCTACTTTGACATTTCGTAAGTTTTTGTTCGAATAAGTTTTTTTTAAATTTCACTTCATACAAAGAATTATTTTTTTCACACATATTTTTTCACTTCTGTTTTCTGCCATTTGGCCGGTTTTGCAGCTTATGAAACATCAGTAGAAAAAAAAGAACTTGGTGGCCAACTTAAAATATCAATGGCTCCTATTTTGGATGAAACCGATCATTTAGGTAGACGGAAAAAGGTATGAAGCCAATATTTTTTGAATTTTACATTTCCTTTTTTGTTTTATTGTAAACACATGGTTTTTCTTTTGCTTTTTTGACAAATCATATAAATGCGTGGTGCATTTACAATAGTTAAAAGTTTTTGCTGACCAACAGCTCTTTTCGATTTTTTCGTAAATTTCAATTGTTCAAATTTACAGTGCATGGACAACAGCTTGATTGCACCTATAGGAACACATTTGCCCTCAATCACAGAAGCTGGTAAATCTTAATTATCTTCTAAATGGATGTTTGATCACTAGTGCTTTTCTGCTTGTATGCACTAATGTCGGAAATTTTCGTACAATGAAAGAAGAAAACTGTCTTCTTTTCTTTTAAATTGTAGATCAGCGAGATGCTCAGCAGGATGTGCCAGAAGAAAATGTTCCACACAGCGAATCAGTCAAGATCTCTATGATGACTAATATGAAACAGTTGAAAGTAGATTTGCTTGATGATGAAACGGATGAAGATAACTCTATTTTGACGTATGGTCAAATTTTAACGACTTCTGAATTCTTGAGGTGAGTCACTTTGTTCGTAGTAAACACAGCTATTTCACATTTTGTGATGACAAATCTATAGTAGTAATAATTTTATAATCATATCTTTTTGCTATGCACTTATTTCCAGCAATAATTCTTGCAGTATTCTCTCTTTTGAAGTGTATTAACATACGTAGTTCATGCTATGGAAATTAGAACTTATTTGACGTTCACTATTTTTAAATGCAGATATCTTCGTCGATTTATCGATTCAAAGGGCGTCTCGACAGTACTATTTTCGGAATTAGTTCGTGGTAGTTCTCGAATGTGTGTGGTCAGAGCTTTTACTGCGTTGTTAAGTGCGTTATATTTTTTTATTATTCGAGTAGGGCAGTTAAAAAATCCAGTTCATTATAATGTTTTCAAAATATCGTTTTCGTAATCACCATTCGGTGTATTTGGTTATTAATGCTTTAACTATTTTATGAGTTTTAATTTTAAGTTTAAATTTTTTATTGGTGAGTTTTACTTTAAAACGCAATTCTTCGTAATTGTATGGCCATAATGTGAATTATCAGCAACTTATTTTTTGCCTTTATCGCACTTCAGCATCACTGATGAAACAAAAGGTCGTGGTTCAACAAGTTGACAATTTCGGTGAAATCGAAATTCGCTTGAAATAAATGCCTTTTTAAGGGAAGTTATGCTTTGTGAAAAATAAATATTTTTCATGAATGTTAGTTAGCTTCGAACTCTAATTCAAAAATTTTCAATATTTAAATAGTTGTCAAGTTTGTTATGATTTACTAGGCTTGATTCCCAGGATATATTATATTTTGAATCACTGTTTTAATATCTAAAATACTCTGGCCGGTTGTGTTGTACAACAAGCTTAATTTTTTTCTTTATTTTTTTTTGTCATCTTGCAAAACCTTTTTTAGAGTTACGAACCACCCTCCAAAAATTAATAAGACTTGTTATACAGTAGTTGGTAGAGCCAGAAAGAATTCTAATGAGAATTTATTTGAAATAGGATGTTATGAACGTCCAAATATTCAGTGAGTGTCGTAGTCGTCGTTTCTGGAAAAATGTAATCTTCAAAATTATAGTTTTTTACTGAGCTCCATTAGCACTTTCAATATGTCTGCAAACATCCGTCGAACAAAATTACATATTAAACATTTTGAATACCAAATAGCTAGACGATGATTTCAAGTCACATTTATGAAAGACTAACATTTTTGACATTACTGCTGATATGCTCACTTTCTATTTGCCGTCCGAAACTTCTGGAAAAGGCTGCGAACTTTGGCTTTGCTAATATAAAAAAGTTTCATGTTTTATGAGTTTTAACACGTCTTATATGGAATCATACTTCTTTATTCTCAATTTATGGTGCAGAAGCATCAATATTTTGTTTTTGTAGCTTATTGGGTTTGGATTTGTTTTGTTAAGTATTCAGCTGTTCCGATAAAAAATTTTAAAGTTTATTTATGCATAACCAATCAAGTTGCAGTTTTTAACCATTTTTACGTACTAGCTATTGTAGTTGAACCCTGATCAATCTTCCATAACAATAAGTTAATTCAAATCAGCAACAGATTCGGTCGATGACCACTGTGTGATTCACTTTTTGTTTGAATGTTTCAAATTTTTTATTTAGTCCTCAGATTTCAATTTTTTAAAGCCAACTATGAAATTACGTTTGGTCAGATGTCACAAAGCACCTATGTAAACTAATTGTCTGGTTGCAGTTTGTACACGCCAACAAGTTCCGGTATTTCCAGTGGGAATAAAACATGTCAAATCATAAAAATGATCGAAAACGTGACGCTTCAGCAATGAAAGGGAATGTAGTCCGGCTATGAACTTGTTATTTATGTCTAACCGTCTAATTTGCGTTATGGACAGTGGCCTCCACTTGACTTATATTGTCCATACAGGGAATTTTACTTCTGTGGAACTTCATAAACTTAAATTGTAAGGCAGAACATGCTAGATTTTTAATAAACGAAGATGAGCTTAGCGTTACTTCTTTCCCCTACTTGGTTGCTTTCTGTTGCCGTATCTCAGATATTTCGTATACCTAAAAATAATTGTCCAGTAAGCTATCTTGTTTGAAGAACCACACGGCGTATGTGATCATTTCAAATTACAAGAACTCTCTGATAACACATCTCCATGCAGTTTATGCAGGAATTATCCTTAATAAGGATTGTAATTTGGCGTGTTTTTACAGAGAGTTCATGGCTGGATCACTTCACATTTTGTATCCAAAGAAATTTTTAGTGCTTCAGATATTTAGTGCATGATATATGGTTGCAAGAATCACCAGTTCTACCTAAAGTTCATTATTAACTATCGATACCTACGGTAGAAAACATTTTCAATACCGGAACTCAATATCTTTTTGTGTTCCTCTATATGACTGACTGTTCGACAAGCTACTAAACTTATTACATCAGTTGTATCACAAACATCACAATAAGCATTAGTAATAATTCAAAAATACTCGACAAAACTGCTTGTAAACTGTTGATAAAACATGAGACACTCAAAACTGAAATATGGCAAGCAAAATGATTCTCATAGAAGTTTTACAAAGCATGTGTCTGATTTTGTCAACAAAATTCAAAGAAAAAAAATGGCAGCTCAGTTGTTCTCTTTAAATACACATATACGCACATATGATACCAATTTTCGAAGCGAACTTCAGAAAATAATTGTACTAAGGATAAGAGAGAAATTATTTACTCAAATGATGACCATAGTTACAAGAAATAAAAACAATTTCAGAAATAACTCAAAGAAACTAAAACATTGCATGTTAAAAGTATTTGATCTAAACAATCAAGCTTGGAATTTCACCAATTACATACTTCTCAAACAGCAAAAATTAAGAACTCACCCCGAAGAGACCTTCGAACATCTTTTTTAGCTTCAGACAAACTTTTGCAACTTAATTCAACATAAAACAATTTTTAAAATATAGAACCTATCTACAACAAAACAAACAATACTAAACCTTTCTATTCCATTATTAAAAAAAAAAAAATTTAGTTGTTCTGTCGCACGTGCGTTTACAAGAAACAATAAGAGCGAATTGTCATATGAAAAGATAAACTAGCTCTCTCCATTTCCATCATTCGCAGGAGCGATATGATTATTTTGCTTTACAGAAGACTTTTGTGACTCGCTCTCGTCTGCATTATCTAACAATACTATTTTCTCTTTTGCGCAAGTGTCACAAGCAGGAATCCTGATCACGATGTACTGTGGTTCCTGAATCATTTCAAGAATATATGAACAATTTTCAATTCTCCACAATATCAGTTATCTTTTTGAAAGGGTGTACCATTTCTATTCAAGCATAATATTTTTTCAATACGTAACACAAAATCATTTTTAATTAGATCATTTATAGCCACGTGATCTTGATCTGGATAAGGATAAAACATCATTATTTTAGTCTTAGTCTAAATCATCATTTTGATCTAAGCTTTTCGGAGCCAAAGATTCCGTAGCATCACTGCAAGATTCTTCTTCACCATGTTTTATAAAGTTGCAAAACTATTCCTATTACGAACAAAAAACACATGGGGTGAGGATAAACCCAATTTCAATAATTTTACCAGTGCATTATGACTACAAAATTTATGTTCAAACTGTCTTTCATTTTACACACAATAAATATTAAAGCTATGACATCAAACAGAGCGACAAAAAAACTAACTGTTTGGTAAACTTTTCGGTCGCAGACAACACAGCAGAAATTTGGCTCTTCTTGCTGATGATCAATGCCTGATGCGTTGATTCTGACACCTTAACAATGCATCACACTAGTCATTCACTTAATTATAATTTTGTTAACCGATGCAAGAGCATTAAAACATACGAACCTGTACTAAGGGGAATACACCTCTGATCTTCATCATTTCTTATATCATCATTTTGATCTAAGCTTTTCGGAGCTGAAGACTCTGTAGCATCACTATAAGATTCTTCTTCACCATGCTTGGTAAGCTTGCTCCCTAGGAAACGAGTAAAGTATTGCACATATTAGCAACAGTGTCCATTATTCACAAAAAATTACAGTTTTTAATATAATAAATAGTCCCGAACTTGAGATTATACCATTAAGTAATTGTATTTCACTTTCATTGACCCATTCAAAATGGCCATCACTAAACTGAACTTTGTATCCGCCTTTCTGTTTGCTATACTTAATTGTTGCAGAATATACTTTATTATGTCGTTTGATTTCAACCTCCGTACCTATTAATGATGAGTGTGGCTCCATGAAATGTTCTTCTGAAACTGACATTTTGTTAACAGATGCAAGAGTATTAAAACACACAAACCTGTAGTTTTTTGATCACGTATTGTTCAATTAAATTAGATTTTGAACGTTTTAAAATAGTGATGATTTGCCCTAGGATGGAAAGAAATGAACAAAACTACTTGAATCTTACCTCCGCTCCTAGGTTTCTTCAAATCACCCGACATGGAAAGTTTCATGGTATCATCCTGCAATTATCAAACATCTTTCCACTATTCAATATAACCTAAGCGATCGTGAAAAAGAAATTAACAAACAATATAAAATTCGACCTGAAATAAACTTACTATCACGTAGTGTGATCGCGCTGATTCTTCATGACCAGCACTTCTTCGATTTTTTATCACTGCTGTTTCGTTCCTCAAAAAATCCGTTCAGTCCAGAATATTACAGCTTTAATGCTATTTCAAAAAATATGCCCAACACATTTCAAAGTAAAAAATGTGTATAAATAATTCCTCAATGATATCACATGTTATCTACTTCTTTAGCGCATCATTTGTAAACTTCATGAAGCAAAATTTTTTCATCTTAAACAAATAAATGCTTACGACTGCATAGCCATTTGCATGATCTTTTGCACATTTTCATTCGTTAAATTATCAACGTCTATATTTTCCATCGCTAACTCACTCGACGAAAACTGAATTTCAGAATTCTTTATACATGACAACAATAATATTATTAAGATCTCTCGTATGTAATATTCCGGAATGGTAAGTGAAAGTACCACTTTGTCACAAAGTGATGTATTAGTTTATCTAGGCAACAAGGAGTACGAAATAATTTTTATTGCTGGGAACTTCTTATGATCAAAAATGAAAATTAACTCACAAAAAAATCCTTTTGAAGAAGAGAATCCACAAGCTTAACAGAGCCATCATTTAAAATGTACAGCGTTAGACGTTGATTGGTTTCACATATAGAACTACTGGATACAATTTTCGGATAATGTAGCTGGACAACGGAATCTTGATGTTCTTTCTTTAAATTTAACTCCTGAGTTGAACTATTAGACTCTATGATGGACATAATTCTATTCAACTGTTCCTGTGTTAATTCTCCACCATCTTGGACATCAACACCAGCTGCCTCAAATACCTCTACGGGAACCTAAAGTTATAGTTTTTTAGCAATTAAGACTGAATATAAATACAAAAAAAAAGGAACTAATAAGAAATCAGCAAAAAAAAGAAAGTATAAGATGCTAGACATTAGTGATGCATTCAGAAAAACAAATATAACCAGCTGAATGTGAATCACTTTACAGACAGAACAAGATAACAGACAAATTTCATTCGCGCAATATTTCTGGCTTCATAGAATGGATCTAGATTTCATTTTCAAGTTAATCGATTATTGAAAATTTCTACACCGAAATCATGCAGATATTTAGAAAGAATTGCACGTTATGTACTAGTCTAGCTGCAACACAGATTTCCTGACTTCTGAGAAAGATTCGAATTAAAAATAGAAAACTTAGTCAAAACTATCAGACCTATGGGTACAATAATTCGATATAAATAATATCAACTTTGAAATGTTAATTTGTGAGAATACAACTCTGAAGTGCAAAGAAAAATCCTTATTTTAAGCATCAATATGTTAGTTTACGTTTCAAAATTATGCATACCGCTGCGTAACTGAATGCCTCATCATTATCATTTTCATCCTGATCCATCAGAATGCCTTGTTCAACTTCATTAGCTGTGACATTTTCATCTAAACTGACCGTCTCTGAAGTAACAATACTATCTGACATCATCACTACTTCATTTGAGCATTGCTGGTACCAAAAATACCTCAAAATTTTTGCGAATTATAAATTATCGATATTTAAAAAGTGTGACGAGAAAAGTGATAGCGTCCAACATCCCACGAAAATAAGATTTAAAATTAACGACGCCATGCAGATAAAATCTTCAAAAGTCAAGGCATATGTTACAAGAAGTAATATAAATTATTGCTTTGAATTAAGGTAAAGTTGTATCCTTTACTTTGTTACTGCGTATTGAATGATTTCTAGCATTCGTTCTCATCCATCTGCCACATCTAGCCGATAAAACTTCTGCAAGATTATACAGCTTTCCGTATGGAATAAAAGACACATGTTGCAAATCATGGCATTACCGCCTTATGTTAAATTGGAAACTCTACTTCTATTTCAATCTATCAGTGAAAGTTAGTAGATGAAACATAAGAGATATGATTCTAGTCCCTGAATATATGAAGGTATAGGTATAAATTGAAAATTCAGCACGAACATCTCAAGCCAGACACGTTTCCGAATATGTTCTTCCAAACATTAAGTAAAAGAATGCAACAAGGAATGCAATTCGTTGACTCAATGTTATCAAAGCATGTATGCATGTCTTAGCCAAAATCATAGAAATTTGGATACAAATTTGTGAACTGTGCTCCGAATCTGGTAGTTACATGATTAAATTAATGGTCTTTATGACAGACGACTTCCAAGAAGCGAAAAGAAGCAACAGATCATAACGACAATGCTTATGCAACCCCTTGTTGCAGTACTTCTGAAGCAACGAAGACAAGACAATGGAAGAAAGAGAAGAATGACGCGCATGGCATGATGCGGACGCAAAGACTGTTGCAAAAAGAGTTCGAAACCAAGAAGAAGAATGCTGTGTGGTCGAACAGTCAGGATATCAAAAGAAGAAAATGGAGGATGAACGAAGAAAAGCAGCATCTGCAATTACTGTAGAAAACAATGAGAAAGCAAATGAGGTTGTGAAAAGCTCCGTGAAAAATGTAAGAGAGCACTCTGACAGTTTACCGGGATCAGGAACGAGCAGGATGGTTACGCTAGAAGTTATCATTTGAGGAATCGAGGTTCCGCAAAGCAGCTGGCCAGGTGAAGAGCTGAAGGCGCTTCTTGACCGTTTCGGGAGAATGTCGAAAGGGGGATAGCCCTTGTGTCGTTCCCTGTATTGCGACACGTTCGTGTGCGCGATTAACCTTCAAGAACTGAAGAGACAAGCGAATGCTGCATCACCAGTATTGCAGGTCGCCCGTGCTCACAGAAACGGTCCTTGGAAGAAACAACGAAAACACGTATCTTGGCACGCTTCGTTTAACAGTTTCCAAAACTAAATAAAATATATATCAGTTTGACTTACATAGAGGATTTAATGAAGTACACGGAAACGAACGTTTGAAAAAATTATGTGACGGATAAGATGATGTAAAGGTGAGGGATAATGCGAGAAGGCAAAAATGAATGACAATATTAATTTATATTTATTTCAACCGTTATTTAGAGACCTGTGTGATGAGAAATGTATGAATATACAAGAGAAAGGGTCACTTCCTCATTTCTAATCACGTAATTACCAGTAAGTACTCAAGTCAACGTAAGTACTGTAAGTACGCAAGTAAACCATTACTGCAAATCTATCTATATGTATGCATCTAAGTATACTTCTTTGCATATATTCTTGCGTACAATGAATGACGGCAGTACTGTGACGTAAATGCAAATATAACCAGTAAAACGCGTTTCTCTGACTAACTTAACATATGTTCTCAAAAATGCGCACTTAATTCAATGTACTCATTTATTCTTGTGCTCAACGTTCTATCGATCAATCGATTATCTGTTCATTTACTTATCGGTCTCGTTACTCTATCATTACAAAGATACTTTCATGTCCACATGTCTCCTTTCCTGTGCGTATGTTTGTCATTTACATACGTAGCTAGAAATGTGTGGTACTTCCTCACTTACATAAACGATTCCTACTTCATGCGATACATGTTTCTACATAAAAGAATATTTGCAAACGTAAGCAGTGAAACGTGTTTGTGCGTGTAAGACAAATGATACTGGTTGAAGGTTATAATTAAAGTGATTCGTAGACTGTTTCATCCTTGTTCATGAAATGTTCAAGTACGTAATCAAGCATGTTCATAGCAGACAGTTGTAAGCTATAGATGCATGTTTACGTATATATATATATATATATATATATATGCTTGTGCGTGCGCGTATGTGTGTTGCGTGTGCAGACGCAGATGCAGATGCACTTTTGTTGTACCTATCGATTCGAGACACTTCTCACACCTTTTACCGTTCGCTCCTCTGTCTTTCTCTCTTTCTGACTCTCTGTCCCACCGTTCTTTTCTTATGCGATCAAACTTTGCATATTTTCATTATCTTGAGCACTGCTACAGAACAGTTGCATTTTGAGGTGTTCCAAGTAATTCTACGCTTCCACAAGCTTGTTGAGCGGTCTCTACCTCTGGTCAGTCGTACCCTTCTGTATATCATGAAGCCGTGCTCGAATAACATATTCCTTATTTATGACATAGTTTAGAAAAATACCGACTAGTATACGTGTACTTAACGCTTGTTGCTACTTCAAATTTTTGCTAATCGTAATGCATTATTACTTCTGCACTTATTAGTGCATCTATTTACTTTAGTAATGCATACTAATAACTACAGTGCATAACAGCATATAGTTTGCATCTAGTATTAAACTTTTTTAACTATAGTTTATAATTTTTTCATAAAAATAAATGAGTAAAGTTTATCCTGTATGATTTCTTTTATTTACATGCAAACATGTAACATGCTTGAAATTTAATTAAAGTAAATGACCATGTTTGTGTCATTTGAGGACATTAGTGAGAAATAATGATTCGAAGCGTTTCTAATTTCTGTCGTTCGACATATCTTGTGAATCACATGGTACGTTGTGCATCATCAGCACCACCTACTGGGAAGAATATCAAGACTTTTGAGATTTACCGTTATAATCCGGAAAAACCTGGTTCACAGCCACACTTGCAGGTGTCACTTCTAATTTTAACCTAGAATGGCCGGTTGAATTCGTAGTAGAAAGTACTTGCTCAGTGTTTTTGTGAATTATTTTAAAGCAATACTCTAGGACAAGAGTATAGTACATTACTAGAGTGTATGCACCAGTCTTGATTTGTTCTTAGACTTAGCATGTGTGATACTTTTAAAGAAATCTTAGATGTTTATTGGTTACAATATCAGTCTGAATTTAAGTGATCTCAGTGCAGAGAAGAAAGTATGGCGTAGGATTTTGATTACTGGTAGCTTATCATTTTTATATTTTATGTTTTATCAGTATTAATTTAAATGCTAGTAAACATTCAGTTTTTCAACGAAATAAATATCTTCTGTTTTTAAGCCGTGCACAATTTCTTTGCATTCATATTAGTTTGTTCTAGAAATTTGATATCGATTTGAATGATTGTGGTGCAATGGTTTTGGATGCACTTATTAAGATTAAAAACGAAATTGATCCTACTCTCACTTTCCGACGATCATGTCGTGAAGGTTTGTACTATTTTGTCTTGAAAGAAACTAATATGATCGCTGGTACTTTGATTATGTCTAAATTCTCTGTGTGCTTTTCGGGAAATGAATCAATGATGCTCAGTTGTTCATGCTTCATCAATGACTTTGTAAATTCATATAGAAGTACAGTTATACTGAAGTATTTATAGTTTCAATGGGATGATTATTGATTCCTTCGACTTATAGTAGCTATTAAATAAGCTCGATTTTGAAGTGGGATGACAGACTGTTTTAGGTATATGTGGTTCATGTTCAATGAATATTGATGGCCAAAACACATTAGCTTGCATTTGCAAAATTGACAAGGATACAAGCAAATCTACAAAAATATATCCTTTGCCTCACATGTTTGTCATCAAGGCAAGTTCTGAATATTTCCTCCCTAAAAACTAATTAGTTGTTGCTTGATGAAGAACGCTGTTTCAAAGAAATCTCAATATTACTGCAGTGTTTTAAGACATGAAATTTTTTTCATTTTAATATATATATAGGACTTGATACCAGACATGAATCTGTTCTATGCTCAGTATGCATCAATTGAACCTTGGCTAAAGAAAAAAACCAAGCTAGCGATTGGTGAGAAGCAGATGTATCAGACAGAAAAAGAACGTAATAAATTGGTTCGTACTTATGAAAATTGCGATCACCTTCAATTATTTGAAGAAAATAACAGATCAAAAGAAATAATTTTTGTTCCTTTATTTTTTTTAGTCTTTGATCTGATGATTTACGAAGATTATACAATTATCAGTTCGTCATTTTTTAAGGATGGGTTGTATGAATGTATTCTTTGTGCTTGCTGCAGCACAAGTTGTCCATCGTATTGGTGGAATGCAGATAAATATCTTGGACCTGCTATCCTACTTCAGTCTTATAGGTAACTCTTAATAATTTTCCAGTTTCTAAAAAATATCATTTGCTAATGATGTCTTTTTTGTGGGAATAGCGTTATATGCACTCGCATTCTGTAAGTTGTAGGTTTTTAGGTGGATGATTGATTCTCGAGATGATTATGCTAATGAGCGTCTGTCGAAAATACATGACCATTATAGTGCTTTCAAATGCCACACAATTTTGAATTGCACTAAAACATGCCCTAAGGTATGTTTGAAACTTTATAAAGCCTGTGAAGCAACAAAGCGTAGTCGAGAGTGAAAAAAATACCAGTGCAACTTTTAATCCATCACCCAATAAATTGTACTAATGGTAACTTAGACAATAATTGAACTGATACATATTCTAAGCTGAATGATTATTATATGATATAAATTCAATATAGTTTATGTTTCATTACGTAATATAAATTTTTCTAGTAAAGAATTTTCCACTTCCAGCATTTGGATCCAGCAAAAGCAATTGGGGAAATTAAAAAGCTTCTTATCGGCTTCGAAAAAAAACCGACGCCAGTTCCCGCCCCAGCTAATTTCTGAATAAATGTAAAGTCGAAGGTTTACATTCAGTGGATAAAGAAAGTTTAATAATCTTTATGTCATTGTCGACGTTTTTTTTTTGTGAATAATATGGTTATATTGAATGAAATTGCGTCAATTGTTTTTATTGTGTGAGGGCTTTCTTGCCAATCTATCACAATAATTACTCTTACTAGTCGGCGATATATATATAATAATTCATTTAGTGAAATAATTGATCTCTGGGTTTTATTTGTATAATAAATTATTCTTCATATTTATTTGACTTTTCCTCGGCGTCAAAAATTCTTATTTCTGATTTTTGGTGAATTTTGAAATTAGAAGATAACTCAAGAATAGTAAACTTAGTTCAGAATTTATAGATTTAGTGAGATGGGGTATCAACTTGAATTCGTTAATTACGTTTATTGTCGAGTTTTAGTATAGTAGTTGGAATTTATAGCGTTGGCTGAGTTACGGAAAAGCATTCCAAATTCAGTAAAGAAGGATCTTTGACGGGTTGAATGTGGTCGCATATTGAACGATTGATAAGATTAAGATATTCCTGCAACTGAGTAGACTTTATTCTGCATTTTGATTCCTTGCAAGACAGCATTCAGAATGTTCAGTGTCTAATGGATGACTGAACAAAAAAAGTAATGGAGAGGATTGCGTCTTCTGCAATTATATCTTTTTCAATGGATTACTGGAGTTTAACATTGGGTGGAGCAATTTTGTGGTTTTTGACTTGGTTCAGGGGATTTCATTGCTGAATGTGTCGTTTGTACTGAGGGTTTTGGCGGCTGAGAAGACAGTCGTTACTATAGGTGCTTGAAGTGTCAGACTCATTTCTCATATGTAGCATAGTCTAGTCTTGCTACTGCAAATAAATTGGGTTAACAGGGAATAATTATATTGGGTTAAAGGTGAGTTTTAATTACATGCAGGTCACGTTCTGTTGTTAATTTTACGCTTTTCAGGATTCGGATGTTGGAACTTAGTATTCATCTTAGAATGATTATTTTAGTGACATATCCAAGAAAGTGACAGTGCACTAATTATCTTTATCAGTCCTAATTTGTTTAACATTCTTAGTAATCATGGAAGATTCCATACAATTAAAATTGTTTATATATTGTACTGTTTTGCAGAAAAAATATGCATTGGTTTGAAGAATGGAGAAGGCTAAGACAGAATGAGTGCTAAATAGAATGAAAACTGGAAGTTGTGCAGTCATTAGAAGTTTTATGTAAAATTTTATTTAAAACATCAAGTTATTTCTGCTTAAACATTTCGTTTCTAATATATGCATTATTACGCACTGTACTAAGTATTTAAAATATGTAAATTAAGCGCATTATTTATAAAGCAAGAGAAGTTGCATCTATGGAATCAAATTTTAACGGGTAATATATTTGAAAATGAAAACGATCTCTGATGTCTTCTACTATCTGAGGTAATATTGTAATTAAAAACAACTGATTTTCAAAGTTCTTAGAAGAATTGGGTCTCAACTTTTTATTTCGAGTTGACAATCTAATATCATAGGGAACTTAATATCAGGTTGTATTTTTGTATGATATAGTTTTCATTATTGCGAAAGTACAGTAACTGCACTCTGGGATTCCAGTAAGCTCTTTTTTATTAAGAATATCTAGAGTTGTCTTTGCCAAGGTTTCTTTAGAGCTATAAGTTGTCGACAATTTCCTAGTGAATTATATCCAGAGAAATTGCGGGAGTTTATCTATATCGATGCATTCAAAGTTATATCTTAAAAATAGCTGTTTTTTGATTACCAGTTATGTATTAATGTTTTGAATCATAAGTTTATGATTAATTTGCGTTGATTATAATGAATTTTGTATATATATTTGCTATGCTTTTTTTACTGTGGTAAAATATGTTCTATGCAAATCAAAAATCCCAATTTATGCGCATAAGCATATTTTTTACTCACTAATTGCACTTCTAATTTAATTTATATTTCATAGAAATCAATTATTACAATTCTTAGCGGTACATGCAAAGTAACTTATCAATGCAAACAGTTGTAAGTAATTAGGAAAGGAAGTTAGTTAATTTGGTTACCTTACGTTCTCTTCAAAACTCGTTACTTTCTTTAATTTCGGCACAGTAATGCTAGTTGTAATTCTATCATTTACTTATCAATCATTTTTGATACTGAAAAAAAAGTAATGCTCATCAACAAAGACTGAATGTTTTGTGGAATAGTTGCAATAGAAAGTCATAGAGGTACTTCTTCAATTAGTTCTTCTCTAATCTCTGTAATAATACTTCATTACTGAGTAAAAAATTATAATTATGACTATCAATTACGGTTTTGAAATTCAGTGATAAAAAATTAATAAGGTCAGCTGCTAATTTTGTTCTGCAAAACTTTTTGCCTGCATTTTGTTTTCGTATAATTTGTGTCTTTAGAGGTTGTAGCACTGATTAAATGCGTCATGCTTCGTTATTTAAGCATTTTAAACAATTTCAAGAGTATTCTTCTTTAACTTCTGAGAAATTTGTGACAGAATTTAATCAATTTTTATGTGTAATTTTAAAAAAATGAAGTGTTTTGCGATGGATTTCTTTTTTTTTCCGATAATTTAGAATTCAGTAATTTAAACACAACAAGATAATTATTTATCATTTTTATTATTTTAGTTGTTAAAACTTTAGTGCATTGATTCATGTGCACCAAATATTGTGATTAATTAGCTAGTACCACAGACTACTGCGCAAGTTTATGAATAATATATCTGCAAACTGAATTAAATGTTACAAATTTTTATCATCAAAAAGTATTTTCTTTCTTTTAGACTACAAATAAATATTCCTTTTTTTATGATTTTTTGTCTGTTTTTTTCCTTTTTTTTTTGCAAATTTTAAATTTAGATTGTTAACTTTTTTTTGTAACATTATCAGTTTTGAGGCAGTTGGTTTTTAGCACAACAATTTACTGCGTAAAGGAGCATAGTTTTCTTTTTTATAAAGCTATAAAGAATTGGCTCCTAATTAATATGAATTTTGTTTTGTTTAATGTTTAAATCTTTTTTATGATTAAGAAATTTAAAGTTTGTCATTATTTTAATCTTTATATTGTTAGAAACAAAAAGAAAACATATTTATTCTACAGCACTGCATAATCAGTGTCATATTGAACAAGCGAAATGTACTGCTTGATAAAACTAAACTTTTATTTATATTTACCAATTAATATTGTGTACAAAAATGGTCCAAATTATTATTACAAATTATATACATCTTCAGATATCACCAGGTCAAGGAAGTTATTGATTCAATAGATCAATTCAAACTATTTGGTTAGTTCGGAGTAATAGAGTAATCCAAATCAGTGGATTGATTCAACTCAATACTTTAATTTGAATTACAATATAATTGCTATTTATTTTACCATTCATAAATTTTATTTGCAAGTTAAGAATAAATAATATTAATCAAAAAGCACATTTACAAAAATTGAAAATTTGTCAATTTTTAATAGAAATAATTTTTTTTGTGGACTGAAAAAAGCAATATAAAAATGACTTTCAAAATTGAAGTAACAATGAATTAAATTTGCCAAAAAAGTAATATTTTCTTATGTTTCATACTTACCACAGAACATTAATTTAGCATTTGTTGATACGTGCCAAAATGTAATCAACTCGATTAGTTTTTATTTATAATTTTTTTTTAATTTAACTTGAAAAGTTTTTTTGCCTTCCCAAACGTTTTTATGATTTCAAACCAAAGTGCTGAAAGAAGAAAGACTGATGATATAAGAAATAAGCAAGCCATTATTTCTGAAATCGTAACTTTGTTCAATTAAGTAATGAAAAATTCTTTGCTAATGAAAGCTCACTTTTTGCACTGTGAAAGGTAATAAATTGATTAGAACGGAAATTTTTCAGAAAAATAATAAAATATTTTTGAATAATTTTCTATTGATATTATCTGCCACAGAGAAGTCATTTTCTCATCTCATGTATTACTAATATAAAATAATCATAATTTAGTGCATTTTTCTTCAGCTTTGAGATATTTTGCTCAAAATGATGCACATAATTCAAGCATAATCAATCTCACAAAAGTGATTATTGCTATTTTTGGAGATAATGCAGAAATATAAGTTATATCGAAAAAAAAACGCATGAAATAAAAAATTATGATTGATTATAAGGTTGAAGGATGAAACACAGAATAAGATGCATATATTCAATATTGATAATGTTGAATATATCAGTTCAACAATTAATTAAAATGTTACTTTCTAGCTGAAATGTTTGAACAATCTCTTAGAAGTTCAGATATTTGACGTGAAGATGAGTACATTTCAAGAAGTTTAAACTTCTGTACCGATTGTTATACAATATCTTTCATCTCAAAACATTGAAGCACAAAAATAAAAAAGTAATGATAATAATAAGTGATAAATAATTAAAGTAAAATAATAACAGTAATTAAGCATTTATTACGGATCAAAATTTTGCTGCAATACTAATTTTGGTGAAAACTTGAAGCGATTATTAGTTCATAAATAAAACTTTGATAAAAGTTAAAGAACAATAAATGAATTAGTGATAACTGCTTTTTTTTACTTTCCCTCGACTGTAAATTTATTTATTTGCTTATTTTTTTGCCATGTTGAAAAAGTAAAAGTTCGCTTTTGTCTAATTTAATTTACAGACATGAGATATTTTTATTTGTTATTATTGGTAAAACCACTTACTTAATATAATGAAAGCTGATGAAAGTGGAACTATTATTATTAGTAATAAACTTTATTATTACTTGTAAGTAAATATTATAAATCTGAACTCTTTCAGGAAAGTTATTCTGATTTCTTTTTTGTTTGCTTCTTATATTTGAAATTAGCTTAAATTATTTCTTCGCAAAGAGCAAAAACTTTTATTTTTTTCTATTGAAAATGGCAAAAAAATAATAAAGAAATGATGGGAGAAAGAGAATAAACTTGAATTGAAATTTTTGTGAATTCAAAAATTCACAGTGAA